ACGGCTGGTCAACGGCTCAGTCAATGGCTCAGTCAACGGCGCAGGGGCGCGGTCAACGGCGGCTCAGCGGCGCGGCTTGGCTGGCGGCGCGGCTCGGCCTGGTCAGCGGCGCGGTCAACGGCTCGACGGCTCGGCTCGGCTCAGGATGACGTCAGCCTGACGTCAGCTTCACGCGCGCCCCCACTCGTCTTCTTCCTTCGTCGGCGCGTGGGGCGCGTGTGTGCGAGTGGTCTTCACTCGCGATATTCAGGTGGCGCGTGGCGGCGCGTTAGACCTTCGATTGGCCTGTGGTTTGAAGTTTTGGACTCCTCTCCTCCTGGCCTTCCTCCTGGTATGCTCAAAAGTGGATTTCGACCACTTCGAAATCTGGACACTTTCGGAAAAAACTCGATTTTTCTCCACCCGGGCTCTGATACCAATTGTTGCGGATCGTGGGCACACCAGGGGACACTCACAAGCAAAAACACAAGAGTTTTAACGTGGTTCGGCAAACCGGCCTACGTCCACGGGAGCGATGTTGTTATATATCAACAAATGGAGGAGATTACACACTCTCAACTCACTGTCTCTCTATATAACACACTCTCTCACACTCTCTGATACACAAACAGAATATAGCTCTCACTAGCTCTCTCTGTTTTGTGCCTCTCTCTCAGCAGTGTGTTTCTCTCTTGCTTGCTATGTTTGCCGTGTATTCAACTCACCATCACCATTCCATTTTATACACCAAAACAGAAGGTGGAGGAGGCCTCATGGGTGTGTTGGCTGCCAGCCCAATATTCTCCTTTGAGCTGCTGTCCAGTTGAAAGCTTTGTCCCACCATGTGAAGACTTCACATGGCCAACTCCATGCTTTCTCCTTTGTTGCTGGCGCATGGCAAGCCTCATGGCTGCCAACTCAAGCCTCATGGCTTGCCAACTCATGCCAACCTCTTTTGCCTTCCTTTTACCATGTGGGTTGGCCACCCTTCCATGTGGCTGCCAACTCAATTTGGGTTGATCTCCTACAGGGTAAGCACACCTCTCTCTCATCTCTCTCTATACAAATATATGTGTGTATCTTGGTAAAAGTAATGGTAAAGAACCCATTTTGTTGATATCTTTTGCATAGAAAGACTGCTACCTTTTACTCAGTACTGGGTTATGCCTTTGAACTCATAGCCTTCTGATAGTGTAGAAGAATGTATTTAGTTGTTTGTGTTTTGGGGTCTTATTCCCCGACATCGCGAACACAGAGAGACAGATCTGGAAAGAAGAAAAAGAGGTGACGGCGATGTCGAGATTGATGGGTTGCGATCGCGATGGCTAGGGTCAAGGATGGCAGTCGCTTGCAGAGGTAGGGGATGGGCGATGGTGGTGGATCGGCGGTCGTAGGGGTCTGTAATGGCAGTGGATCGGCAGTCGTGGGGGGCTGCTAGGTGGGTCACAGGTAAGGTAAGGGGAGAGCAGCGAGAGGTTGTCGCGGTGGGGGAAAACTGGCAGGAGTTGCAGGAAGTGGCGGCCGGTGGTGAGATTAGGGTTTGAAGAAGAAGAAGAAGAAGAAGAAGAGAGGGTGGAGGAGGGAGAGAGGAGATGAAAATGGGTGAAATGAGAGGTAGGATTGAAGATGGGTGAAGTTGGTATGTTAAAAAGTGTAAAGAGAAAGTGTATAGATTTGATTGATTGTAATAATAAAATGAGTGTAAGAAGATAGAATAGTGATCTAAAAAGAATTATTCTAAAAAAAAAAAATTAAAAATATGATAGTAAGCATAAAAAAATTACTTTAGAATAACTCTAACATTACTATAGAAGATTTGGACTTACAATGGGTTATAAAAAGTAAAAAAAGATTCTACAAAATAAAATCACTCTAGAAATTCAAAAAATATGGATGAGTAGATGAGAGATTTTAAAAATTGATGCCTCCAAAAAATTCTCTAAAATCACTCCACTTTTTTAAGAATATTTTCGAGATTTTTGTTTTTCTTATTTTTTATCATTTTTAATGAAATTTGTTCATATTTTGATAAGAAAATTTTATTTTTCTAGATGCATATATATAATCTAGATACAATTAATATATATGTATATATATATATATATATATATATTTGTGAAGAAATTTTTTTTATTTTTTTACTAAATGCCAAAAACTACAAAAATGTACCCCTTTTTTAAATTTTTTTCTTTACACAAATATGTTACTTTTTATGTATCTCTATTATGTAAATCTCAAAAGTAAAAATAAATGATTAATATATATATATATATATTTAAAAAAGTTCACTAAAGGACCCCAAAAAATGGAAAACAAAAAATCTCACAAACAGAATTTGAGTTTCAAAACCAAATAGAAATAGACATGTGTAATCTGTGTTTAAATTTTGTAATTAGTTTTTGTGTACATAGCATAAACTTAATTATATATGTAATTTGCATTTTTTTTTTCAATTTTTAGGTCTGGTTTTTGGCCACAGTGTGGTGGAACATGCAGCAATGGTTGTCCTAATGACATACTTAATGGCAGAATGGAGAGAGGATCTCCAAAAATCAGCAGCAACAGTGAATATAAACCAAGGTCTAACATCTGTGATTTCATTAGCCTTTGCTCATTTGGCTGATACTTTTGTTGGTTGTTTCAAGATGGTCTTTTTCTCCTCTATTTCATACGTCATTGTAAGTTCAACTCGCACTTTCACTTTGATTTCGCAGAAATCTTTTTTGGCTAGAAAACAGTATTCACATGTTTTGGTATAGTGGACCGAAAGCATATTTATTTGAGTAGATAATTATTTTTATTTTTTAAAAAGTAATAAATATTTTCTGAATTAAAATTTTATCAATGTTATCAAAGTACAACTCACACGGTCACCTCCTCTGCCTCCGCCATCCCACCACCACACCATACTCCACAACCGATACATAGTCTCATTGAATTTGAAATTGAATCGATTGAGAAATTAAATTATACAAACAACTCATTTGTTGTATCATATATACGATTATTATATGTGAACACTTGAATAGGTATAGTGTCACTATAAATTTTTTTTTTTTCCCAAAAAACCTATTAATGAGATAACTTATCTATTTTTTTTTTTTTACCACCGAAGGTATGTAATAGCAAGTTAATACGCACGTTTAAAGAAAACTCCTTGTGATTTCAACCTTCAAATCTCTTCTCGATTTCAAAAAAAATAAAAATAAAATAACACATACATCGTGTAAGCTCAAATGCTAGTATATATTTATATTAATATATAAAGTGAAGAGTGAATGTTGGTTGTCACAATTTTTTTATTTCCCCAAATACCCCCAACTATGATGATTGCTTTAAATTTATTTTCTTAGATCCAACGGCTTCTTACATCTAACTGTTTGTACATGTGTAGTGTGTGTCCGTCTCTAATATATATATATATATATATAAAATGCTATGGACCCAAATTTTTTCTCTTAGATTTTTCTGGGGTGAAATGTTTGTATGGTAGAGATTGAATTAGTATAGTATGGCCACGTATGTTTGTCACTGCAGGGACTAAGCCTTCTATGCTTATCAACTTTGAAACTTTTTCGACATACAAAAGTCTGCTTGTTCTACATTGCACTTGCCATGATAGCCATGGGCAGGGCTGGGCGAAACTCCACACTGAAGCCATTTTTGGCTTATCAGTTCTGGGCAAAGTACCAAGAGGACGATGATGACAGAGTACAATCCAGGACAAAAGTATGTTGGAGCTTTGCCTGGCTAATGGGTATTCTTGTTACTTACTTTACATTGCCAAATCCTCACTGGCCACAAACCCTTGAACTCTCCACATATGTGATGCCGGTTGCTCTTGCCATCTTCTCTTTTGGCATGCCCTTTTACCATTGCCCTGCAACAATTGAGACTCAGAGTCCTCTCACTACAGTTTTCAAAGTCTTCAACGTTGCCATACTGCGTAGACACCTTAACGTGTATCCACTTCATGAGAGTAATCAATCATTTACTTTGTTGCAAACAAATCAATTCAGGTTTTGATCATCTCTTTTTTGTTTGTGGATGTGTATGTGTATATGCATGTTTTGTTAGTGTGTTTTTTAATTTAAATTCGGATTATGTATGACCTGATCAATTGGCAAATGGCCACGTTTCTCCATGGGTCCGGGCGGCAGGTAGGTCCAACACAATATTTGTATTTGACTTTATTTTGATCCGATTTGGTATTTTTGAATCCTTGTAAATATTGGGTTATTTTGGAGTTTTAAGGTTTTCATTAAATGTTGACACTATTACATGGTATCAATGTCAATATTTATTCTATGAATAAATATTGAGATTAATGGTGTCACTATCTAAATCACTAATGAGATTAGATAGACTCTCATTGTCTCTCATTAATCCAATAATATGAGATTTCTCATTGGATGGTATATGATACTGTCACGTGATATCACCGTTATACTCAATATTTACTTTTATAATAAAACATTGTATTAAGAGGGTCACTTAGTTGTATTCAGTTGTAGTTCGAGGTTTTTGGAGACCTTAGGCTAAATATCAAAATGAGACCTTACATAACTAAATCTTTGAAAAGTTGGGATCTTAGACAATAAGAATTTTCTTTTTTTAAATTTTTCTGTGGGCCTTGGGTGACTACCAAACTGATCTAATAGTTGAACCACCTCTAACTATAACATTAATTCATATAATGAAATTCCTTCATTGTTCTTCGCTTTTGGATGTAGTTGGTAGACTAAACAATATAAATTCTAATGTGCTTGTGTGTTTGTTCTGTTTTATCTTGCAGATGGCTAGATAAAGCAGCTATGTTGAAAGCATCCTCAATTAATCCAGTAGAAGAAGAGAAGATGGGGAGGCTCTGCACAATTACACAAGTTGAAGAAACAAAACTTATTCTAGAAATGGTTCCTATATGGATGGCCTTCCTAGTATACATTTTGGTGAAATCCACTGGTGAAAATTTTTTCATTGAGCAAGCCACTAAGATGAATGGGTGTAACAAGACCATCCTAGCCCTTTCTTTGATCAAATCCTTTCTCAGCCTTGCGATTTCCTGGTTCTATGAGTCAATACAAGAAAACAGGCTAGCTGAAACACACAAAAGGAAAGCAACCCTAGTGAGAATTGGACTAGGAATGCTCTCATCCCTATGTTGTTGCACCATTGCTTGGCACGTCGAGACCAGGAGGTTGAGTTCTTTGGATACAAACAATAGATCGATGAACATTATGCGGTTAGTTCCACAGTTTTGTTGCTTAGGACTAATGGAAGGACTTGCTGAAGATGGAATCGAAATGTTTTTCTGTTTTCATGTTTCGAAACGGATGGCGGGTTATGGGAAGGTATTCACAGATTTCGTGATTGGAATGGGTAATTTGGTGAGTGCCATCACTATTTATGCATCAAGAAGATGGTTCAGAGACACCTTAAACAATAGTCGTCTTGACAAGTATTACCGGATGTTGGCAATATTGAGTTATGTAAACCTTTGGTACTACTTTTATGTGTCAAGAAGAATGTTGAACAAGGGCAATTGAAAATTGTCATCGGGAACAATGTTTAGGCTTAGGGTTATTTTGGATTTAAAATTTTAGAGTTTATAGTTTAGGATTGATACACAAAACAATGTTAGAAGAGTCACTTAATTCATGACTTCATTTTGAAAATATGTTATAAATAGTATAATTATTCCTGTCTCTAATAACTTAAAACTTTTAGATGAGTAGTGGTTAACAATCCAATATAATATCAAAGTAGTCAATAAAAGTTTTTAAAAAAGTTCATAGTTTTAATAGTCCACCTCCATGACCATCTCTCTTTTATTTATTTATTGTTAAATTATTCAGTATATGAAAGAAAAGAAGAAATATGTAACTCTTTATTCACATAATGGGTACAATTGTTAGTCTTTCGAAGCAGTTGAGTAGAATTTTCTTTAGAATTGCACTTGAACTCAACACATGAATGTGATTACAAATTGGCTGCCCTAATTTATGAAAGGAAAATGCCAAATTAGTAAGAATTTTATGCAGAATTTGTTATAAGAATGATATATAAATAATACATTTGTAAATAAAAGTCATGTTAACGAGGCTTTTGTTTAAAATGAAATATTCACATTGAATCATACTGTTTTACACTTGAAAAAAAAAAAAAAAATTTTTTTTTTTATAAATTTCTGAAAAAAAAAAAAAAAAATTATAAATTTCTGTTTATATATATCTCTAATTTTTATGAAAACTCAAACCTTAATAAGGTTTTTGAAAGCAAGATAAGAGGAAACACATAAAGGGGGGATTCTATTGGAACCCAAAAAGGTCTTAATAAGCTAAATTTAAATTCATAAGTTAATTTCTATTATATCATAATATAAATTTAATAATAAGGACAATACATATTAAATCTTAAAATATATATTTTTTTCATGGTATACCCTAATCAGTTATTTCTATTTAAATCTTTGTATATTTTTCTCCAAGAGATCAAAGTTATTTCTTTTTCTTCTTCTTCCTCCTCCTTCCAAAACTCCAATCGACCCAACTAAAACTCACCATCATCATCATCAACGTCATTGTTTTTTATTATTTTGAAACCTTAAACCATAGAACAAAGTTTAAACAAAATCAAATAATGGATGAGAGTAATAATCAAAATAGTTTTTTAAAAAAACCCATAAAAAATGAGGTAAGTATTCATATAAAAGGGCTTCACAATTTTTGTAGAGCACTATCAATTATTTTCTATATCGTTTTTTTAACAAAAATTAAAGGGCCTAGTAGTTAGATTAACAATAACATATTATTGGAGTTGTTTTTATTTTGTCATTTAAATAATACATTATTTGAAAACTACTATTTCTTATTAGTGTCTGATACTTTTGTACTTATAAGTTTGGTTTAACTTTTCCACTAGCATTCTTGTGGATAATTTATTATATAAAAGTTTTTTTTTTCTGTATTGAAAAGTTTTATAATACTTATGTAAAGTTTGGTTTTTTCTATATTTATAATGAATATGTGCTTATAAGTTTGGTTTTTTTTTTTTTCTATATTTGAGAATTATTTTCTGTATTGAAAATTTTTTGAAATAATTTAGTTTTTTTAGTTTGTTTATTATTTATTATTTGGGTTTACCTTGAGGGTAATTTGGAAAAAATAATAGGGCATAATGAGAGTAAAATAAAATTTTAAATATTTAAACATTGTATACTTAAAAGGGAGATTTTTTTTAAGGTCCCTAATAATAACAATTTAGAGCATAAAGGACACCCAAAAAAATAGTGATGCATCAGGTCCCTGAACAACTTGGCGTGCGTTTTTAATTATTTTGTGGACCAAAATACCCTTGCCAAAATCAACACAGAAACAAAACTTATTCCGACGTCTGAGTTCCATTCCAAACATCCAGCATCTTCACGAACAGGAGAACAGCAGAATTAGGGTTTCAACATCATATGCACCATCGACATTAGAGCTTCGTTATCTTCTCCAAAAATCATTCCCATTCCTTCCTCACAAATTTCTCTAACCTAGGTTAGAGCTTCGTTTTCACTGCTCATCATCATCTCAATCCATCTTCGTCACGTCGCATCTTCATCTCGGGCCATATCAGCTCGTCATTCAAGTTTTATCCTAACTCTGGTCAGTTTTTCTACAATACAACTAGATTTTCTCTGAAAACACAGTTAATAGCATTTTATAATAACCTTCCATAAATTAGGGTTTCAATTTCGTAATAAAAAGCTACCTGAATTTGGAAAAAGTTATTTCTGTGTGTTTTGAACTTATTCTTGAACATGGTCGTGTGGATTTATCTGTAAATTTCTCTGGCATTTGAATTTCTCTGATTTTTGCTTGATGCATGTTTTTTCTTTCAATTTTCTCTGGCATGTTTATTTTCACAAAAATAATTTTTTGTGTTTTTATCTTATTCTTGAACATGTTTCTGTAATTTTGTTTATAAATTTCCCTGCTCTGCAAATTTCTCTGTAATATGTATTTTTAATTCGAATGTCTATCTTTCTCTGAAATGTCTATTACTCTCTGGCATCTGTCTAAGTTTCTCTGGTATTTATAATTTTCTCTGACCGCATCACATCACTTCCCTCCCTTGTGTGTCTCTATCATTTTTAATTTTCTTTGGAATTTTAATATTATGGACTGGAATGAATGTTTCTTCTTTGAATTTTCTCTGCCATGTGTATTTTGAGAAAAAGTTATTTATCTGAATTTTGATCTTATTCTTGAACATGTTTATGTGATTTTGTCTATGAATTTCTCTGGAATATGTATTTTTCTCTGCAATGTCTATTACTCTCTTGCCCCTGTCTAAGTTTCTCTGGTATTTATAATTTTCTCTGACCACATCACACCACTTTCCTCCCTTGAGTGTCTCTATCATGGTTAATTTTCTCTGGTTGTGTATGTAAATTTCTCTTGCATTTTAATATAATGAATTGAAATTTTCTCTGGAATGGAAATTTCCTCAAGAATGTGTAATTTTCTCCGGAATTTGTATTTTTCTCTGGTATATTTATTTTGTTCAATTCTTAGTTTCAATATGGTGTAATTCTCAGTGGCATGTTTACATTACTTTGTTTATTTTATCTTACTAATTGTGGAATGGAAATTTTCTTTCGCTTGCCATGTTTACTTTTTTCTATCATTCATTTTCTCTGGTATGTTTATTTCTATATGTAATTTTAACAATTATTGAAAATTTCTCTCCCATGTTTATGATGCTGTGTTGATTTTCTCTGATATATAATTTTTAATGTCCAATTTTCTCTGGCATGTCAAATTTTCTCTAGCATGTCCAATTTTCTATAATTTTTCCTTATCTGTAATTTTCTCTAACATCTCCAATTTTCTCCCTTATCTGTAATTTTCTCTGACATGCCCAATTTTCTCGGGGATTTAATGTTGGCATCTTTATGTTTTAATCATTGTCTAGAAAATGGCAAAATGCAAAAGCAGCGAAACACCGGAAACACCGGAAACACCAAGCAAACAACAGAAACTCTCTCAGTCTTCTTATGGACTAAGATAAAAAACCAGCAACAAAACACTAGAAACACCAAGCAAGAAAGAACAACTCTCTCAGTCGTAATTTTCTCTGACATGCCCAATTTTCTCGGGGATTTAATGTTGGCATCTTTATGTTTTAATCATTGTCTAGAAAATGGCAAAATGTAAAAGCAGCGAAACACCGGAAACACCGGAAACACCAAGCAAAAAACAGAAACTCTCTCAGTCTTCTTATGGACTAAGATAAAAAACCAGCAACAAAACACTAGAAACACCAAACAAGAAAGAACAACTCTCTCAGTCTTCTTATCATCGAAGATCAAAAATCACAAGCAAAACACCACAAACTCCTCACCAAAATACACAAGTCCAAGCTGATGAAGCAACTAGCATCCAGATGAGTACCCCAACTTCAAAAGACTCAAGCTCAAGGGGGAAAAAACCTGTTAAACTCCATAGAAAGAGAGCTCACTACAACATTCAATTCCGATCCAACCTCTCATCTGTCGTCTCCTTTTTTCAAACACTTAAATTCAATTCAAAAAAACTTCTAGAGCTTCAAAAGACCCCATTCTGGTATTTGATCCAAGCTCTAACCACTAGAAGGATGGATCCAAAGAAATCTAGGAAATCCGATGATGATGTAGTTGCCATAATCCAATGTTACAATGAAAAAACAAAAACATTTACAGTTAGTAAGAAGAACCTGACCTTTACAACAAATGACATGACCTTGATTTTTGGTTTGGAAGGAGGTAAATGAGCCATGTCATTAAGATACTCTAAAAAGCCAAAATCTGCATTCCTTAGGAGAAGATTCCAAAAGGACACAAAGCTCACTGGTCCCGTTCTTAAAAATGCCTTGGTCAAAGCAATGAAAGGCAAGCAACCAACTGACTTCAAAGATGTAGCAATCATTGTTACATTGTACTTGTGTCTCACCCTATTTTTTGCAACAAGTGGGAATTCAATAGCTTGGGTTTTTATAAAGTATGTGGAACCTCTTGAATCAATGAAACAGTATGATTGGCCGGAAGCAATCACATCAACATTGATTGATTCTATCATGGCATGCACAAAACACCAGAAAAAGTTACGGGGTGTGTCATTGCATTGCTGGTAAGTATAATATCCATTCAAATTTGCAGTTATTTTACTTACAAATTTGTGCGCTTAGAAAATTTTATTTACTTTCATTTTCATCACAGTATTGGCTACGTGAACATGCAACTATCATTGACTCGAAAGACAGTAACACAACTGACTTCCCAAGATATGCCAAGTGGAACCTGCAAACCTTGACGAAACAGCTGCAGAAGACACCAGTCCACTCTCTTGCACCTCGGCAGGTTAGATTCCTATTGCTACTGAAATCTCAATGAAATTCCAAAATTTCTCTGACCACTGCTTTGTTTCCCTCCTTGTGCATTAATTGATTAAGATCAATTTTCTCTGAACTATCAATTTATGTTTTCTTCTTTGGTTACCACTGGTCTATTTCTGCCATTGTAATCAATTTTCTCTGCCATCTAAATTTCTCTGACCACAATTGTAACACATTAACTTATATGCCCTGATTGATTTTCTCTGATATCTAAATTATGTTGGTTGTTTCATAATTTTCTCTGGCCCTTCAAATTTTATCTCCTTGTGTGTAATTTTCTTTGCCCATCAAATTTTATCTCCTTGTGTGTAATTTTCTCTGCCCATAACTTATGTGCCTTACATCTTTGATAAACACTGTTTATTTCTACCATTCTAATGAATTTTCTCTAGAATCCAAATTTCTCTAACACAATTGTAGTAAAACATTAACTTATATGCCTTGACTGATTTTCTCTGATATCTAAATTATGTTACTTGTTTCATAATTTTCTCTGCCTCATAAAATCAACTCCATGTCCCTAATTTTCTCCGGCCCATACAATTTTCTTTGAAGTTTGTTTCCCATTAGTATCATTTAGACGAATTTTATTTTCCTTATTTGAATTTTTTCTCTCAGTGAATTTTGTAACATTTCTCTAATAAAAGAGTCTCCTGTTACAGATAGATAACAAGCAGCTAGTCAAAAACCCATCAGAGGAGTTCTGTCTTAGCAAAAAGACGAAGAAAGAATCAAAAAAGGCAATTGTCAAATTCAATGAGACATTACAAGATCCATCTGAAGATGGAAGGAATGAACAAGCAGAAGGCAACATAGAAGAATACGAAGCCAGCAATGGACAAGAACATCAAGCAAGCAGTGGAGAAGAAGAAACCAGAGAAGAAAGTGAAGAAACAGAAGCAGAAAACAAAGAACAAAATGAACAGAAAGAATAAGACAGTAAACAAGAAGATGAAGAAGAAGATAAACAGAAAGAGGAAAACAAGGATGAAAGTGATGAAGAAGAAAATAATGAGCCGATGGACCAACAACGTGATAGCATTTGTGGCTCAACAATGCATCAGCCTGAAGAATTTGAGGAATCAAAGGATGCCCAAATTGCTGATCCACGTCAAAGACTGAAGGCACTTTCTCAATCTAAAAAAGAAGAAGACAGAAATTGGATTGAATTACTTGCTGAAAAGGATATTTCAATAAGAATCCTGACATCACTTAACTCAGAACTTCAAGAAAAGAAAGCACAATCCAAATGAAACTAAGGATGTTGGAGGTTGAAAGAGCAGACGATACAAAACCAATTCAACAATTGAGGTGTTCAAATTCAAAGCTTGAAACTGAAAATGCTAAATTGCACGAACAAGTTCAAGAACTATCTGTCCAACTAGCAACACAACCATACCGAACACCAACACAACTTCAACCACAAGGTCAGTGAAAATCTTGAGCCACAAAAAGTTATGTCCTTGTGTCAACATAATTCAAAGAAATTTCTATTTATTATAATTTTCTCTAGAAGTTATAATTCTCTAAACACATTAGTTGTATTTCTACTGCTCATTTCATTTTCTCTGTATATTTTCTTATTCCATTTTTTAGACTTGTTTGATTTTCACTGTGTATAGTTGGAATGCAAGTGGAACAACAACCAACAACCCAACAAAAACAAATGGCACACAAAGAACAATCGAAACAAAAGACAAAAGTCTATGGTAACTGCAAAATATTGAATCAAATAAATTTACATATTGAAATATCATCTGTTACTTCAGAGAAATTTCACTTTTCCTAATATTTCACTGTTTACAGTCAAAAAACATCCGACGTCAATGATAAAAAATTTAAAGGCAAAAGAAAGGAAGGAAAAGCAGTATGATCCAGAATTCCAATATCCCAAAGTTACAAAAGTGACTAGAGCTTCAAAACAAGCTGCAAAGCAAGTTGAGCAAAGCACAAAGGACAAAGAAGTGCTTGATGCTGATGCGTACATCTTGCCTCAACCTATAAACATCATAAAATCTTGGGTCTTTCCACAAACTCTTCCAATTTCAAGATTGATAAAAGATCATATAAAAGACATCTTGCAGCACATATCAAATGTGTCTGGGCTTGAGTAAGTACAACAAACAAAATAGAAGATAACAAACAACAAATTACAAACTTATGTTGCATTAACAACAATTCAATCCCTTCTTTGTCATCTTGTAGCACTTTAATAGTGAGTTAAATCTCATTACCTTTGAAGACATTAAAAACCTAATAAAGCAAAAAGAAATTGCCAACAATGTAAGTCTTTCCCTTTCATCAAAATTTCTCTGCAATGTTCCATCAGCCTTTATAAACCAATATTACAATTATAAATCATATTTTTCAGGTCATTGATGGCTATGGAAAGATCCTTTTGGCTGACCAAATGAGAGAAAGACAACAACCAATCTCATTTTTTTCACATCCATGAGCTTAGTGTGTTACTACTATTTTATTTGATTTTCTCTGGAATTTACTAACTACTTTCTCTTCTTAATATACTTCTTGAAACCAGTTGTGTCACTAGTCATAACAAAACCATTTTTTGATTTTCTTTGAACACAGAATTTCATCAAGATGACAGAAAATCAAACTTTTCAAGTGTCCTTATTTGACAAGCATATCGAAATAGCATGGAGGAACTACAGATTCCTTCATTTCCCAATAAATACTGGAGGTAATGAGAAGTCCACACATGGAAATCACTGGACCTTGCTTGTCCTGGACAAACAAGACAATTTATGGAGATTCTACAACTCACTAAGGCCAAGGAGGGATGATACAGAAGACAAATATGTCAAAGATGCAAAAGAATTGGTAACGAGTACAAATTTCTCTGATCCATCATCAGCTTTATGTGATGATAATTTTCATAGAATCCCATTGATTGGTCCGTAAATTTCTCTGTTATTTAAAAATTATTTTTTTGCAGCAAGATTACGTGGAGAATTTTTTGAAGGCTTGCCTTGAAAGAGACACTCAATCATAACCCTCTTTCAAATTAATAAACTCACAAAACACAAGTTACGACTTTGAGTATGTCAACAGTGCTCCACAACAATAAAGTGATTCGTAAGTTTCATACATCTATAAATAAGATAATCTGATTTGCATGTTTCTTAAAACTAACCATACCTATAATTTGTATGCAGTCTGGATTGTGGCCTCTTTGTCTGCTATATAATGAAACAATATAACAAGCATGAACCTATCAACTCCAAATTGTCCACACAAGACATAAGATTGATGAAGGCAGAACTCATAGAGAGATTTGTGACCGAAGTTGGCAGGTCATGGACTGAACCAATTGAAATACCCCCAGAAGAACCACAAATGTAATAGTGAAACTAGTGAAAGGAAGACAATGTACATATCCACACAGAGAAAATTGTCTCACATATATGTATATATCCTTTCTTGTTGATACATTGAAGGAATGATGATCCTTGACATATATGTATATATCCTTTCTTGACTAATCTAAATTTCATTTTTTTTATTTCGACTGATGTGAATTTCATACCTATCGATGGTTAAATATATATATATATATATATTTTTATTGTCATTCACAAAAAAAATTGTCTGCCAGAGAAAATTGTCTGCAGAAATTTCTCTGGTATGAACTACCAGAAATTCACAGAGAAATTTAACTTGTATCGTCCCAAGGAGATGCCTATATGATCATGTAATCTGTAATACTTTGTGTTGGTACAAAACAATCATCAAACTCAACAAATAATAAAGCGCACAGTAATTTTATCTGCCACTAAAAAATTTCACTGCATGAATTTCAAATCACAATGCCCAGATAGTTTTCTCTAATGGTGGAAAATTTCTCTAAATAAAATTGACGGATTCAAATGGTGACAAAAAATGGAATTTCTGAGTTATGAATTTCTCTGGGTTGAGTGATTTGGAGATGAGGAATTTCTCCGTGTTGGTGAGGAAAATTTCTCTAGCTTTGACACAAATTTCTGAGTTGAAGTGAGTCCAAAGAAATTTTTCCCTGGTCCAGAGAAATTCTCAACTCAGAGAAATTTCAAAAGAGCTTAATTTTGTTTCTTGGTTATATAATAATTTTTTGTATGCTCTGTCTGGTGTGCACATTTCTTGAAATGCCTAGTATGAAGCTACCAGAAATTCAAAGAGAAATTTAACTCATATCTCACTAAAGAAGGTGCCTATATGATCATTCAATCTCTAATGCACTGTATTAGTACAAAACAATTATCAAATTCAAAAAACACAATCCACACACTACTTTAGTCTGCCATTGTCAAATTTATGTGGATGAATATGAAGCTTCAAAACACAATACACAGAATTTTCTCTACCATAAGAAAATTTCTCTGGATGAATTTGACAGGTATTACAAACCCACTGCCTATAGTATATATCAACAAACACAATGTACACTTCAACTGATATTGGAAAATTTCTCTGGATGAATTTGATTGATATTATTATATACACTGTCTAAAAAATACATTTCACAAAAAAAAATACACAAAGTAATCATCAAATGTATTATTCAATCAATAAAATGTATAATTCTCAACTATTTAACAAAGGTTCCTTGTATGTCCTCTTATTATGGTGACCAATACTCTCACAACGACTACACTTAATCACCCTTTTAAACTTTGGAATCTAAATCGAAAACAAACCTAATTCAACTCAACTCAAAAATCTACGCGATCAACACACTGTCAACCCTCTTTCAAATTGATTAAAAAACAAATAATAAAAAATTAATTCCAAAAATAAAAATCAACTCTATCAAGCTGGCCTCTCTCTAAACAAAAATCAAAATACATTTGGAATCTAAATCGAAAACAAACCTAATTCAACTCAACTCAAAAATCTACGCGATCAACACACTGTCAACCCTCTTTCAAATTGATTAAAAAACAAATAATAAAAAATTAATTCCAAAAATAAAAATCAACTCTATCAAGCTGGCCTCTCTCTAAACAAAAATCAAAATACATTTGGAATCTAAATCGAAAACAAACCTAATTCAACTCAACTCAAAAATCTACGCGATCAACACACTGTCAACCCTCTTTCAAATTGATTAAAAAACAAATAATAAAAAATTAATTCCAAAAATAAAAATCAACTCTATCAAGCTGGCCTCTCTCTAAACAAAAATCAAAATACATTTGGAATCTAAATCGAAAACAAACCTAATTCAACTCAACTCAAAAATCTACGCGATCAACACACTGTCAACCCTCTTTCAAATTGATTAAAAAACAAATAATAAAAAATTAATTCCAAAAATAAAAATCAACTCTATCAAGCTGGCCTCTCTCTAAACAAAAATCAAAATACATTTGGAATCTAAATCGAAAACAAACCTAATTCAACTCAACTCAAAAATCTACGCGATCAACACACTGTCAACCCTCTTTCAAATTGATTAAAAAACAAATAATAAAAAATTAATTCCAAAAATAAAAATCAACTCTATCAAGCTGGCCTCTCTCTAAACAAAAATCAAAATACATTTGGAATCTAAATCGAAAACAAACCTAATTCAACTCAACTCAAAAATCTACGCGATCAACACACTGTCAACCCTCTTTCAAATTGATTAAAAAACAAATAATAAAAAATTAATTCCAAAAATAAAAATCAACTCTATCAAGCTGGCCTCTCTCTAAACAAAAATCAAAATACATTTGGAATCTAAATCGAAAACAAACCTAATTCAACTCAACTCAAAAATCTACGCGATCAACACACTGTCAACCCTCTTTCAAATTGATTAAAAAACAAATAATAAAAAATTAATTCCAAAAATAAAAATCAACTCTATCAAGCTGGCCTCTCTCTAAACAAAAATCAAAATACATTTGGAATCTAAATCGAAAACAAACCTAATTCAACTCAACTCAAAAAT